CATAATATAGGATAATTATGATATTGTGTCTTCAGATGAATCTGATAAGGATAAGGAGCACTAGTGCAGAAATGAATTTTTATATCGGGTGAAAATGACTTTTTACATCGGTTCTGGGTCCGATGTAAAGTCAGGCGATATAGTAAATCAGAGACTTTTTACATCAGTTCTGGGTCCGATGTGAAAAAGACAGTTAACACATCGGTTATAAGCTAAGACTGATCTAAAAAACAATTATAACATTATTTTTTTAAAAATTGACGCAACATTTTACATCGGGCTAACGTGAGACCGATGTAAAATATCCCCTTTTTACATCGGTTGGGATTAATACCCGATGTAAAAGATTCAGCGTTGACAGTTTTTACATCGGTTGCTATTAATGACCGATGTAAAATGTAAGTAATTTTTTTAATAAATTATTTATTTTCTGGATGATTCCCTGTAAAATTAAAATTGGTACCCATTTTTTCATATTTTTCCAATATCATACAGACTAAATTTAGGTCACTATATATATGTCATAGCTTTCCAATATCACATAGACCACACTTAAGTCGATATTTTCATATTTTTCACAACAAACTTACAAAATGAACAATTTTATTGCAAACTTGAATTGTATCACAACAAATAAACTCACAACAAACTTACAAATATATATTCATCACAAAACATACAAAAATATTCAACTATTTATAAGTCTTTTTCTAAACTTGAATTACCAATATAAAATCCACAACTAGATGAGTTATAGCTTCGGTAGACAACACCAAAATCACATTGCCTGACAATAAATAATAACAATTAACATCAACAAAAAATATCAAGAAACTCAATACATGTGCAAAAACCACATGTGATGTGCAAAAACTCAATAATAACAATCGTGTGTAAAAACCACAACTTAGACAATTCTATAAAACTCACCAGATAAAGCTTAATTTTTATATAACTCAAACAAACATTTTGTCCAACGGAGTCGCAAATCATACAAATCATTTTGTATTAATTTTGTTGGGTCATCAAATACCTATAATAGATAAATATAACAATATAGAGTTATACTTTAAAAATTCATATTAAGTTGCAAAACAAAAAATAAATAACAACGTAAAGTTATTTTTATTACTTGCATCCAATTCTCGGTTATATTGGCAGAGACAATATCCAATATATTTTGCATCACATAGTACCCACAATCATTAGAGTTATGTTGTTGTCTTGTCTACAATTGAATGACATAATTAGTGAATATTTATCATAAATTTAACTATAGAATTACAATTTACATCACACTTACATTGTGATGAAGCCATGTAGCCTTTTTTCTATTTCCATTTACCATTTGATGAATTCCAAAAGAACTAATACAGAAAGATAAACATCACATAACTAAATTTACTCGCCAATAAAAAATCACATAACAAATTAATAATTAAGCATAAGATTGGTTGTTGTCACTTTCTTTTAATCTTTTTGTTGTATACATTTTGATTTAATGAGACAAATTTAATTAAATGTTTGTTCATAAACTAAATAAATACATACTTGGAGGCCTTTGAATTTGATGAGTTCCTTCACCCTGTCAACTATGAAAATCTCATCATTGTCATCTATATAGCCAACAACATCACCGATATGAAGCCAACCCTCCTCGTCAATAGTGGTTTTTGTTGCATTCTCATCATTCAAATATCCTAAAATATTGAAGTGTATAATTTAAAAATAATTAAAAACAAATTATATCATGAAATTATCTTCTTGTTTGTTCCTAGAGATATTTGATCTATTGAAGAAATATAATATACCTTTCATGATTTGTTGGCCTCAGATGCAAATTTCACCAGGTTGATTATAACCAAGAGAAAGACCAGTTTCAGAGTCAAGAACTTTGAGTTCTGCATTTCTTACAACAGTGCCACATGAGCCTGATCTTGTTGGGAATTGATGCTTAGCAAAGCCACAATTTCTCTAATAAAAAAGAATGAAATATACACAACATGTACTATATTCTTAACTCTATACAAAATATATATTATTTATAACTAATTAGACTTAATAAACTCTCTACGAATAATAAACTGTTTAGTAATTAAAAAACAAATATAAACAAAGGAATGGATTCCCTAAGCCACTGAGTTAGTATCAAGTATAATCTTCTAATTAGTTTTATATGTACTTCCAATTATTTTATAATGTATCTCAGTAGCAAGCAAAACAACAAGAATATCTTAAAAACTTTTTTGTATATATCTCTCTTAGAAATCCATAGATATACAATGAAGTTGAACAAAATAGAAAATTTCTTACCGGAATCGTAGTTCGACGGAGGAGGGGGTTTCGGAAAAGGAGGAGGGGGTTTCTTACCGAAACTGTCTTCGTGAACGACGGGAAAGGACGGCGGAGGAGACGGACGAAGGGCGTTCGTAGACGGACGGAGACGGAGACGGAGCGGTGGACGGAGAGAATGGACGGTGTTGGCGGAGTACAAATCTCATTCGTAGGGATTATGTTTTGAAGAGAAAATAACTAAATGAACAGCAGTAGAGCTTATTTCATAAATATATATTACACTTTTTACATCGGTGGATTGAAATAACCGATGTAATAGTTATTTCGGAATAATATTTTTACATTGGTTCTAGTAAATAACTGATGTAATGGTTGTTTTTTATATCGGTGGAAGTCAATGACCGATGTAAGGATTTTCTGGTTTTTTACATCGGTGGAACGCAAGGCCCGATGTAAGGGTTTTCTGGTTTTTTATTTACCAATCTGCCACCTAGTTTTTTACATCGCTGGATAGCAAGGCCCGTAAGGGATTTCTGGTTTTTTATTTACCAATCTACCACCTAATTTTTTATTTACAATACTGCCATCGTGTTTTTTTTATAAGACATTTTACATCGATTTATTACTTGGACTGATGTAATAGCCAGCGGAAAAAAAATTTTAATATTTTTTATTTCATTGCAAATAAATATCTGATGTAAAATATTTTTAATTTTATTTTTTACATCATATATTTTAATACCTGATGTAAAGGCTTTTTCTCAAATATCATTTTTTTAGTAGTGCAGGAAGGAGCAACCATTTGTTTTTTAGGAAAATTATGAAGATAATAAGGTAAATATTTCTACTTCATACTCTATCAATAATGAAATATTTTGCATCTCTATAAAGTTAGAAAGAAAATCAAGTCAATTAAAATACCTTGTTTCTACTAAAACTATTATCTTTTTCATTAAAATAGAAAATAAAAATTTGTTGGAAGAAATATATATCCTTATAGAAAAACAGATTATTTTAATTCAAAGCTCTTCTTATCTTTATCACGAGAATATTGTTAACACTATCAAGTACGGAAAATGCAATGTTTTTAAAAATAAAATTAAGATTTGCATAACATGCTTGATAAATTTATCATAGAAAAAGACAACTTGAATCTCATTCTAGATAGTCAATAAGCCTCCTACAATAAAGTTGTTATAGGGTTTGAGCCTAAAATTAATACAAAAAGTTTAATTAATATCTACAATAAGAATAATCATCCAAATATAATATTCTTAAATGTAATTATAGTAATAAAAATGGACATGTTTCTCTATTTAATGTAGTAGTAAATCTAAGAGATTTTAGACCAGACCATAGCCCGATGTGAAAAATATAGCTACCACATTGGTTGAATGTTATTTCCGATGTGAAATATGGGTTTAACTTGAACTCTAACTTGAACTCTTTTTAGCAGAATCGAGGTGGAATCCCTGTAATTTAAGTATGTTTACATGGTGGACTACTACAACAACAAAACGGTGGACTACTACAACAACAAAACTAATGAAAACATACAAAAATATCCAACCATTTATAAGTCATTTCCCACACTTGAATTACCACCAACATGCAATCCACAATAAGATGAGTTGTAGCTTCAGTAGACAATCAAGTAGACAATCAATTTGCTGACAATAAATAATAACATGAATTAACATCAGCACACAACACCAAAATCAAGAAACTCAAATCAGATATATATATATATATATATATATATATATATATATATATATATATATATATATATAGGGGACATATCAAGTGAGAAAGGGGTCCCTTATATGAGAGTGAGAGGAGTAATTATAAGCCATTGGATCAAAATTTATGACTAAGATTAGGAGAGAGAAGAAAGAGTAAAAAAAAGTTAACGTAATAAATGAGGAGAGAGAAGTAAGATTTAGAAGAAAAAAAATAACTTCATCAATGAATCTCAACCATCCAATGTAATCTAAAGGCTAAAAAGAAACCCTCTCACTCTCACATAAGAAAGACTTTCTCATGAGATATGGCCCCTATATATATATATATATATATATATATATATATATATATATATATATATATATATATATCATCAAATAAAGCTTAATTTTTATATAACTCAAAGAACCATGTTGCCCAACTGAGTCGCAAATCATATTGTATTAATTATGTTAATATAAAATTATTTTTTGAAAATTTACATTAAGTTGCAAAATGCAAAGTAAATAACAAAGTAAAAATAAGATCACTTAGAATTAGAATGTCAGAATTATGATTCTTAGTGATAATAAATATGGATTCTAGTCCATTAGTATTTATAGTATAGTCTATGTTCTAAACACTACATAATTTTTTTTGTATGGAAGGTGGATTAACTTTTATGGAGTATCTCATTAGTTTGAACCAAATGCAGCATCAATTTAGTCTTCTGGAAAGACAAAACTTCAGAACATGTTCCTATCCAAACTATCTCCTACCTCTATCACATAGAGAATGATAGTCTATCAATCAATTATATCACTTTCAATGACATACAAATTGATTGCTACAACTTATTAATTCTAGCTCTCATTAATATGAACAATGAAATCCACTAGGAATAACATTATATGCATAACAAAAATTGTAAGCAATATAAGGATACTAACCTTCGTTGCATCTAGTTAAGAACGATAAAGATGAAAACCATCCATGGGAATCACAACAGCAAATTTAGAAGGTTGAACCCGGGAGTCAAAAGAAGAAGATTTCTCGGGCCAAAGCTTGTTTATGCGTCTGGCTACTTCATGCGCTGCTACTTCATGCGCTATTGTGCTTTTCCCAGAACCAAGAGGACCAGCCAGGCCAACAAAAACCTGTGCAACGTCATACAAATAAGAAGATTAAATTAATATATAGAGGAATAGCGCACAAAAGCACGATATATACATTTGTAACTCCAATATAACAAGAACTTACTTATAATTAGGACTCATCGACAATGACAGAAGATATAGAATTCAATTAACCAATACAGAAGATACAGAATTCGATTAACCAATGCATCATATATCTCATCAACACCACTCCATAGCCATAAAAGTAACTAAAACATTAAACAATCAAACCATAGCTACCAAATAAAATTATGGGAAAATTATATAATTTTACTTCATTTCACAGTTAGACTATACCTTCCTTCTACAACTTGAACATTATTGTTTTCAGCAGATAAAACCTAAAAGAGAGTGAAAAAAGTGAATTAGCAACACATTCAGTGCTTGTGGAATCTCAAACATGCAAATGAAGTATGAAAATTGTTGGAGTAACATGAATTTGATAAATCAATTCTGGAGATGTACCTTGAAAGAGAATTCTTGTTTGTGCGAAAGCGTGTTGGAGAAGATGAAATCTGCACGAATTTGTTACACAGCACGATGGACAGTGAAGACGAACTCCAATCGCGAGCGTCTGATTTTGTTATCAGCAATGAAGGAACTACAATGAGAAATACATATGATTGGATTGAGAAATGAAATTGAACTCATAATGGTCAGAGTTTGAGACAAGTTTACCTCTTACCGTTGTTGAGTTTAATGTTAACTCCATTTCCTTTGAATTTGAAACGACCTTTGAGAAATAAATGTAACACAAGCTCTGGTCTCTTTGAGAAATCTTAATATCAAAAGTAAAACTAAAATAGATGATTGTGAAAGAACTAGGTATGTACCATACCTATTCACCCACTTTGCATGGAGGAGGTCCGATGAAGGCTGGCCCGCGGCTGGGAGGAAGGTCCGACGAAGGGTGGCCTACGGCTAGGAGGATCGGTGGCGGTCAGACGAAGGGCATGGAGAAGCTATGCCAAGATCGTAGTGGTGAAGGTGGTTGTTTGGTTATGGAGGCGAGGAAACAAGGAAATGATTTTGGGTTTGTAACGCAGATTAGGGTTTCAGTGAAAGGCCCTTATAAAGGGCCATTTCACATCGGTTGCTACGAGGCTCAATGTAAAGGTCTCATGTTTCACATCAGGTACAAATTCAGGACCGATGTGAAATCTGTTATAACAAAATTTTATTTTATTTATGAAATGGTCACTTTGTTATTTTTTTTATTATAGGACTTTTCACAACGGTGCAAAGTTAGGTCTGATGTAAAATCCTTTAAAATAAAATTTCATTTTATTTACGAAATTGTCATCGCGTTATTTTTCACATCAGTGAAAATAAATGTCTGATGTAAAATCCTTAAATCAAATATTTTTCACTTCAAATTGTTATAAAATCTGATGTAAAATCCTTTGACAAATATTGTTCACATCATATATCTTGAAACCTGATGTATAATCATTTTACCAAATGTCTTTTTTTTTGTACTACATTAAAGTAAAAGTATATATTCTCCATCTCATTTCTATAAAGAATATATGAAAGAAAAATGAGAAATATGTATGTTTCGTCTTACTTCTATGATGAAAGCTTTAGTTGGAAATATAGAGGCAAAATGCACTCTACTAACATAAAAGAATCCAAAAATATTTGGGTGCCAAAAGTTAAAACTTAACTTTCTTTTGTCAGAATGTTTTGTAGCGCCAAAGTTTAATTTAAAATCAAAAAAGATTTTCAAAAGCATAAATCCAAATTTTTCTAATCCATGAGGAGAAATAGTTCCACTTTTAAAGAATTACTTGGAAGGATTCTCTATAAGAAAGAAATAGATTTTGTTTCATTTTAGAACTAAAATTGGATGCAATTGATGAATTAAGAAACTAGAACCACTAGTGCTAATCTCCGTTAAGGTGGCACCGGGGTGGATTTACAAGGTTAGAACTCCAACATCCAAGTCAATTCAAGATCCAAGATGAGTGTATCGAAAAGGGGAGATCACAAAAGTGTACCTTGTTTTCTGTGTGACAAGACTTCTATACCTTTGGTCAAGTGGAATGGATTTGAATTGAAATGGGCCTTAATCATTTGGGCCTTTGGACGGCCAAAAATAGTTTCCCCAAAGCTTGTCAGGCACTCATGGAATCGGGGACGCCTTCATCGTTCGAGGTCGGTATCCAAGAATGTTGTCTGATGCAAATTGGAAATGAAACGTTTGAAGTCTGTTGAAGAAGTAGTGGAGAGCAAGCAAATTAAATGCATTTCCATCACTAAAATTTTGTTCTAGTTCCTTGTGATACGTGGGGTGACGTGAATAGCTAGGACATGTTGTTGCTTATTGTGCACTTGAGTATGCTTGCATATTAAGGGAGAAATCCAATAGTTGATTATGTAACTTCTCTTCCCCGTTGATTTGGGTCGTTCAATAATATTTGACTATAAATAGGAGGAGTTGGGAACTGATGAAAATTTGCAGTCTTTGGCATTCAAGTTCATTCATAGTCACTTCATAAGTAAACACCTTTATCTCTTCCTTCCTAAGAGCATTTATCTGAGCGATTGAAGTTCTATGATTAAAGTATTTGCTTTTCTCCATTACTTTGCTTTGTCAACCTCGCATTAACCAGGTCACTTCTCAACTCAAGCTTTTACCTTCAATATTTCCTATTTTTGGTCAAGATGAGTTATATCCCTATTCGTATAATGAGTGATTATAAGAGTTGTGTTTCATTTGCTGAGGTAATGGAAGTATCCCTTGATTCTTATTTATCTTCCATTGCTCATGATCGTCTGCCCCTCTAAGTTATAACCTTGACTAATGTTTCTAATTTAGAAAGGGTGTCTAACAACTCCTTTGATGACAAAGCTTCTACATTTGACTCTTTCAAAGCTCTCTTATCAGATGAAGATGGAGAGCTCGATCGCATTGAGGTCTATGTGCCCCTTCCCGCTTTGAATGATGAAAAAATACAGGCTGCCAAATTGAGGAGAGAACATGCTGATAATTTCGTCCAGGTTTACCATAGATCCCACAATCATAAGCCTAGTGATGCTGAAATTACGACCCATCTAGGGTGTCATGGTAGGTCATATACAATTTCTTGGATATAGCCTGATAAGTACTTTAAGGTGGGCAAACTATCCTGAATAAGTGTGATGTTAGTGGATCCGGTTGATGCAATCAAGTACGTTCGTGTGAACTCATAAGTGGTGAGTACCATGTATGTTATGAATATTGAAGTTATAATAGGCGTTGTTGATATCGCGGTCGGAGACCCTTTAGATTCGTCGGTTCTTCCATTGGGTCAAGATAAGAGAATATGCAGTTCTTTTGATGACTGCTCAGTCCCGCTTTATGAATGGTTGTTTACTAGGTGTGATCGGTGGATCTGGAACTGACTGTTTTTTAGCTGGTTTCGCGAAATGTCGCGGTAAGCAAGAGTCGCCACCGTCTTTTATTTTCTCCAAATGGAAAGGACAAAAGCACAGAAAAATTCCTTAAAGAGATTGCTCTCGGTTCGGGAGGTAGATTATAGAAAGGGAAGGTGTTAGCACCCTTTCTATCCATGGTTATCCATGGGCTCTTAGATACTTGCTCATTGTGTTTTCAAAAATGGTTTGTTTGCTTTTCAAGTGTGTGTGGGTTTTGAAAAAAGTTCGTTTTGAAAACTTCTAGGTAACTCTTGTATCAGTCCTCAAGAGTGTATGAAGTATTGTTTGAAAACTTTTTGAAAGTGTAGGTGTGAAAAGTATTTTGTTTGTTTTTTAAAAGAGCAAGTATCTATGAGAATCTACCCACCCTAAGGAATTTGTCTGTGTAGATGTCCTTTAAAGTAGTGCCATCCCACCATTGAGAGGTAGGTAGCACCACCGCTGGAGGTGTTCGGGTCAATTCGAGGTTCGGGACATGGTGATCACCAGAGCAATGGGAAGACACCTTAGAAGCTACCCTCATGCCAGGTTCCCGGATCATGAGGACTTACTAAGACATCCTCTACTCGACGATCACCTTTCGAGGCAAGGCAACAGTGAGGCGTACCGTAGGGGTGGTGTGTGAATTGTGTGTCATTTTCAGATATTTTTATCTTGTCATGTATTGGTGATCTACGCTTTGATTTTATTTTTGGGCATTCATTCTTTCATGTTATTGTTTAACAGTTAAAGGTGCGGGAATTTAAAGTGCGGAAAAGGTAAAGGGTCCTACGCTATTACAAAGGCGCGGGTCTACAACGCCAAATTAATCCAGACCCGATTTAAAATAAAGTGCAGAAAATAAATGTCTAATAACTATTACAGGGCTTTGGAACAAGTACATTATATTTACAACAAAGAAATAAATAAAACGCGCGAAACAAAAATGTAATCGAATGCGAGGGCGTTGAACCCTTTGAAGGAATTAAAATAAAATTATTAAAATAATTGAGTTAAATAAAAAGGAACTTATTTTTTTGCATTTTTTAAATTAATATTAAAAAGAAACAAGAAAAAATAAAATATTTTTTTAATGACTTTTTTTTTTAAGTTATAAACAGAAATTACATTTAAATTGAAATAAACATTTTTGGTGATTTTAATTATATAAAGAAATTGGATTTTAAGAAGAAATAAATTTATTTGTAATTTTTGTTATAAAATAGAATTGTTTAGATTAAAATAAAATTGCAAAATAAAAAGTAAATAAAACTACTTTTTGTTTTTTTGGATTTATTGAGAAAGATATGTTAAGTTAAAAATGAAAGATAAAAATAACCTAAAGTCTAGTGATTGGTTTTAAAATTAAAATATTTTTAGTTGATTTTTTTATTTAATAAAGAAAAGTAAAAATTTGTTAAAAATAGAAAAGAAAATGCTGGTTATTAAAATTGGTCCCGGGGGTGTTGAACCCGGGACCTCAAGATCACAACTCTACAGACTTACCATCCGTACCAGCGCATTTATCCGATTTATAATGAAAACAAAAATATAAGAATGAAAAAAACCTGGATTCTGGAAATCTCAAAAATGAAAACGCGCGGGATAAACATTTA